TTCTGATACAGCAACTGAAGACTCTCCAGCTTACTTTTTACTCCAGTTTATTCAAGTGTTTATGATTTTTAAAAAAAATTATAGTCCTACTGCTGTTTTTCATGCATAGCACAACTTAGGGAAGCATACCATTGGCTGGAAATATAATTTGATATAGATGCAACTTGTTAACTCTGCACTATTGCTGCTATTGCTACTTAGAATTTGCCACCAGGGGGCAAATGAAAGCATTTGGTGAATGCGACATTAGCTTCAGTACTGTTAGGTTATCAGTTGCCTTATCATTAATGAGTATTTTTCCATTAGCTACAAACTGCCTTTAAGGATGACCGGAATTTGGGGATTTTATCAGACCGAGGAAAGCCATTCCGATGTATAGCAAAATTTTCCAGCCCAAATATCCTTGAATCCCTTCGAGCCCTGTCAGCATTGGGTAAGTATACAGTACTTGTGAACGTCTATGTTCAATATATAATGTTATCATGTTTGTTCTATTGTCATGTATTGCTAGTTAGTAAAATTAGTAGTGAAATATGAGGTATCTCTATAGTAGCTCAGTGGTGGGTTCTTGTGTTGAGGAGGGGGAAAAGAAAACATAAAAAGCATTTGGATTTAAGATGTGATATTTAGGACATTACCAACATTTTTATATTATAACAGTCAACCTTTTATTCCATTTTAGGTATTGTAGATGTCCCTATTTCAACAATGTTCAGCAGTATACCAGAGAAAAGAAGGAATTATTTCAAAGTAACAGACAGACGGACCCCTGGGCATAATGCTTCAGCCTCTTAATTCTATTGTTCAAGGACATTTTGTAAATACTCATACGTTTCCTGTGGAAAACTATTATTCTTCACATTACAAAACTTTGGATTTCCCATGTCTTTGACCCAACACTTTGCACTATTCCATGCAACATTGTCTTTATTTCTCCTTTTTTATTTATCCTGATTTTCTCCACTACTCTCCTGTGTTGCTAATTCATGCTGGGTTATAGCTCAATGATGCTCCATCCTCCACTACCTCCACCAAGAGTGTAGTCTTCACACAAGGAGCGTTGGGGGACTGTTATTGGACATATATAACTTTGTTGTTATGGCTGCCTGGAATACTGCCTCAAAAGATAATTCCAGGCTTCACCCCCATGAGTTATTTGAAAGCTGTTTCTATTTTTTAATGATAGTTCAGAAGCTAATTGCAGCATTAGTGCAACACCAGCCAATGCATTTACTTTATAAGTCATAGGAGAGNTTTTTAAAGTCCTTCCCTTGGTGCAAACTGTCAACTTATTAAAGCAATATAAATGTGCTTTTGGGCCAAGGATTTATATTTTAAAGTAATTGACTGTTGAATTTTCCAGGTCACTAGTGTGTGTTGGATATTATGCTGGTACATTTTCCATATCCATTCTGCAGTCTTAAGACGATTTCCAACCCGATCATTACATGTAATACTTAATGTAAACTGCTTGTTCCACGAAATATATGATGGGCAGGACAGACTTCACATCACACTTATTGAGTGAGTTTCTCAAAGGTTGGAGAGGTTTTGTACATCAGTTTAAAATTGATAGTCTGAAACCACTTTACTATTTAGGAAAATAGGAGACCCTTAGTAGTTGTTTGATCTGTTTAAGTCCTCTAACAGTAGGAGCAGTTAAAACCAGGAATGTCATAAATTGTGGTTCAATACATCTTAAGTGGGATTTCTCTCTGCCTGTCGGGAAATGCTGCATTCCCAATGGTTATTCCAAGTAAAGCAGTTAACGTTACATTTTTAATTCATGTCTGGTAGTGTTAAACATGACCTGATAGTTATATCTTCTACTGTTGACTATTAGCTTCCAGTTTTAACCTGTGCAGTTTTCAATCTTTAGAAAGCAATGTACAGTATTTGTGAATACTATTTTGCAAAAATGCAGCAATTGTTATTTACGATAATTACCTTCTCATATTTTGTAGATCTTGAGAATTCGTCTGTTTTAATTTCTGTGATTGCCATGATTTTAAAGATTAAGAGCTCAGTAACAATGTTGGGTTCCTATTGAAGAGAGTACATATAAAATAAAGCACAAACTTTATAATATAATAACCCTTTGATATATTAATGATTCTGTCCATTAATTCTTCCGGTTACGATAGGCAACATCGCCAGTAATTCACACGGTCAGCGTCCCACAGGCTGCATTAGTAATTCAGAGGCTGCCTGGTACACCAACTAAAGCGTTATTACCAGAGTTCCAGCGCTGGTTTTGTCCTATATATTGAATTTTGTGCGTGTGTTCTCGATTTGTGATTCTGTGATGCTGCCAACCATTTGGAGCGCTTTTCCGGAAATGGACCGGAGCCATTGATTCACAAAGAGAAACCTGCGTCAAATCTGCAATTAGAATTCCGAACAAGTCCCCGGCCGCGCGCCCTCAGGGCGCGTTGAAGAACCGTCCGTCCAGACTCTGTGCTCGCGGTATCCTGTCCCCCCCCCCCCCAAAGTCCGCAGTCAATCCTGTGAAGCGCTTTGAGGCGTCTCGATGATGTGTCCGAGCCCGACATCCAACGCAAGGATTATTATTATTATTATTATTATTATTATTCTGACTATTGCCCCTGGTGCCTGTGTGAGCTTTGTATCAGCACAATGTGACTGAGCGCCTGAGCCAATCGCGTAGCACGGTGGAGGATTAACCAATAGAATTGCGGGTGAGCCAATGAGAGCTCAGGGAGGCCGGGCTCTTAGCCAATGAGGGCTCTGGGAGGGCGGGCTCTCAGTCGCTGGGTGGGCGGGTTTAGCCAATGGGAGCTCTGGGAGGGCGCGCTCTTAACCAATGGGAGCTCTGCCTCTCGGCCAATGGGAGCGCCGAGCGGGCGGGCTCTCGGCCAATGGGAGCGCCGAGCGGGCGGGCTCTCGGCCAATGGGAGCGCCGAGCGGGCGGGCTCTCGGCCAATGGGAGCGCGGGTTGGCCGTTGGGCGTTACCGCGCCTGCGCTGAGCCCGACTAACGGCAAAATGGCGGCGGCCTGGGCTGCGGCGCGCTGCTCCTTTCCCGCCGAGAGCCTGGGCCCGCAAGCCGGGGGGCAGGGCCCCGAGATGATCAGGCCCTCGGTCAGCGAGCTGACCAGGGAGGTGAGGAGCAACATCCTGTGCACCGTGAAGGGCTGCGGCAAGATCCTGCCCAACCCCCCGGCGCTCGGCATGCACCTGGTCAAGTCTCACCGGGTCAAGGTATGTGACCTCCACAACAGCGACGACGACTTGGATTGATATCGCGCCCTCCACGCCGGACGGCGTCTCAGAGCGCTTCACAGTAACGGAACCCGGGCCCGAGCCACGGGGGGGGAGGGGGAGGAGCCACGGGGGGAGTGGGGGAGGCGGGGGGGTGGGGGAAGGTGACCAAAGGTGCGGTCGAAAAGAAAGGCCTTCAGCAGAGACCGGAAAACGGGAAGGGAGTGAGGGAGGCGGTTCCAGAGCCTCGGGGCGTAGTGGCTGAAGGCGCGGCTGCCGAGGGGGGAGCGGAGGACTCGGGGGGACGAGGAGGAGGCCAGACCCGGAGGAACTAAGGCAGCGGGTACTGTGCTGAGGAGAGAGGAGGGCAGAGAGGTCGGGGGGTGCAGAGGAGTGCAGGGACTTGAATACGAGGTGAGGATCTTGAAATCGATCCTCTCCGGGCCCGTGCAGTCCGGCCAGGACTGGGGGATCGGGGAGCGGAGTTTATTTAGGTGATAGGGGAGGGAGACCTCGTCCCTGCCTCACACCCAGTGATCTATACACACACACACACATATATATATCCCTGTGGGTTTGCTTTTTAATTGCTCTTCCTTTCTTAAGAATGTAACGCACACCAGGTTGTTGTCCAAAGGTCTGGCTTGTTGTCTAAAGTTTTTTATATATATATAAATAATAATACTCCTATTTGATGCTAATACATTGTGATCTCGGTACATTGTGTTTCGAAGAGTTTCCTGACGTTCTGAATGAGTGTGTATGTCCTGGAGATCCTGGTCTTCTACCACACGGGTGGTACAGTTAGTCCACCGGATGAATACATAGGGGGAATCAATACGTAAGTTGCTTTTTTGCAGCCGCGTGTATATTGAATGAAGTGTTTCTGGTTGCAGGACTGCAGCATAAATCCAACAGTTAGAAAGGACTTGAAGTCTTCTGTTCAAAAGCTATATTGCTGCCCCATTGAAGGTTGTCCAAGGGGACCAAATAGGCCGTTTTCTGAGTTTTCCCGTGTCAAGCAGGTAAATATGCCTTTAAGTATGCTATAGAGTGCTGTATTGAGGTTTATGTGGCATTGTCCAACTACGGCGGAGGAGTTCGTTAATTTTTCTTGAAGCAAAATGCGGCACTGATTCCCCTGCAGCATTCTTTGAGGGTTGAATATCATGTCACTGTCGGCGATTTCTGTTGCATAATTTCTTGCAGATTGTTTGTCGTAATTGAAGATTCGCCAAAAACATAAAACGGGCTTGTTTTGAAAACGTGTTTGCCATTTTGTTTTCTGAAGCACTTTATGAAAATTCATGCTGAAAAGAAATACAAATGTGACAAGTGCAGTAACTCGTATGGGACGGAAAGGGACTTGAAGCGGCACGCGGAATATTGTGGGAAGATCTTCCAGTGCACTTGTGGGTGTCCTTATGCCAGCCGAACAGCGTTGCTATCGCACATTTATCGGACTGGGCATGAAATCCCTGCTGAACACCGGTTAGTATTGTTTTGCTAAACACCTTTGAGCTCGGTGCTCATATCCCTTTCTTCAAAAAGCTGTGTGTGACTGGTCAGCTTTGCTGTGTTAAGCATCACTTTAAAAGTTCACATGAGTACTTCTACTACATGCAAAAAAAGAAAACTAAATAGCAAGACAGTCTTGGCAGAAGGACTTGGTTCTCGATGTCTATTCAGTATTATGTTTTCATTGGTGATAGCTGTGAAAAGTTCTGTGTGATCTCCTGTCTCCTCTTCCCCACCTATGTACACTTTCTGCATGTAAACCTTCAGGCTGGCGTGAAAGCTCCAGCAAGAAGAATTTTCATTTTCCCTTTCTTTCTGCCTCCATTTTTCCAGAATTAGAGGATCATGTGGCATTATTCTGAGCTACCAAGTGACTAAACTTGCTTCACTGGATTTTAACCAGGTTTGTAAGTAGTTGCATTCACTGAACATTGTAGAGTCCTGTAGCTCAGTGGTTAGAGCACTCGCTTTACAAGTGAGAGACCTGAGTTCAATTCCAGGCAGAGGGCGAAACCTTGGGCAAGTTTCCTTACTCCACACAGAGCCTTATAATAATCCCTCCAAAACCAAAAACAATAATTAAATTGGTCATTTTCAATCTATGACTGTTTGTGGGACATTGCTGTGCGCAATTGGCTGCCGCGTTTGCCCACAAATATACAGTCAATTCACTTTACAGTGTGTTCTGTGAAGCGCTTTGGGACGTCCTCCCGACGTGAAAAGCGCTATATCAAATGCAAGGATTATTATTATTATCAGGCATCCTCAGTTTTAAAGTTGTTATTGTTCAGTTTCTTTTTTTTAAAAAATGTGCTACAAAGCCTAGAATTAAAGAATGGTGTTTGGCTGAATTACTCTGTAATCCTGAGAGTTTAAATTTACACCAGCCTTTACTCATTTCTTTAGTTATGCATTAATCTTGTTTTAATGCTTTGAAAGCCTTTAAAAGGGCACGCACCCTTTTATCCTCTGGGAGGCAATGTCAGTGAGGTAAGTTGTGTGCTTCTGGGCATCTGTTCTTGGTTGGCTGCCAAGCAGTCTTTGAAAGGGCCTTGTGATGATTTTCTATTCCTTTTATCTAACATCTCTCTCAAGACACTAAAGACATCAAGCATTCACTTCAAATGTGCTGGAATGCTACAGCTCATGCCAGGTGTTGCCTGACTTCATGTTTTTTGTTGGTTAGTGTGATGTGGAACAGACTTTGTGTTTGTAGTTTTCTTCAAACACTGGGTCAAGACAGCACCAGTATTTCAATGTTTAATTCCCTATTTCCAGGAAGCTTCTCACAAGCAGCGTTAAAGCAAAATACCTGGGGCCAAGCCACAGCTGTGAAAGAATTGATAGTGTACAATCTTTTGACATTTTGGGGATTTTTTAAAATGCTGATGGTGTGTTGCACAATTTTATTGGAAAACCTAACAAGTTAACTTGTTTCTATACCATTAGAGATCCACCAGGAAAGAAGCGGAAGAGTGAAGAATTAAATCAGAATCACTTCACCAAGACTGCAAAAGAGCAACAGAAAACACAGTCTGTCCAAGAGCCAGCAGAGAATAATCAGGGGTTTTCTGTGGAAAGCACCTTTGGAAACTGTGGCAGTAATCAAAATCCCACTCCTGCAAAACAAATCCAGAAGTTGTTGCTCCCGAAGCCTAGGGTTGCACTGGTCAAACTACCGGTAATGCACTTCACTCACTTACCAGTCTTTGTATCTTCAGGCACACCTGTGGATAGCTCCATCAAATCAGTTGTAGTTGCTGTTGACAATCAAGGATCTGTTATGAGCACAATGCATGTCTTGTCTACTTCAGAGGGAACTCTCATACCAACTTTGGAAGCCAAAACATTGAACTTTAAAGACACTGTGCCGTTATCCAAGATGGCCAGTGTCATGGTGGTTGAACCAGTCAGTGCTGCAGTGCAAGTAAATATGGATTCAGACCACCAAGTCTTGACGCAATTTGGAGACCTAGGGCAAAAGAACAAGTGTACTTCTATGAACGTGCAGACAGACATATCGTACCTTGCACAGAACCCATTGCCAGAATCCCTTGCTGAATGTTGCTCCCCTGAGAGTACCGTGTCTGCTTGCGCACAGACTGATTTGACTTTCAGTGCCCAAGTATTGCTGCCCATCAGTGTTCAGACACAGACGTTTGGATCAGACCCGAAAATTACTACATCGATGAGTGCTCAGACAGATTCTTTTGACCAATCCTGTTTTCCATCGTATGGGGTATCTAGGGAAACGCAAACTAATGTGATGGTGAATTCAGCTCATGTTGGAGGCCCCATACACCAAGCTTTAATTAATACAGATAATCCAGAAGATATGTTTGACCATTCTTCAAGTTCTTATGCTGTTTGCAGACAAACTCAAACTAGTTTTGCTTTGGTCGCAGAGGATCTGGATCAAAGACTAGCCAACACGGCTAATCATGCCCTGGATCTGCAGAGCACTGATAAATCACTGGTTGATTTTCAGGTTCAAACCAGTTTACTTCAACAGAACCCTATGACTGACAATCAAACTCAGACAATGAGCCTGTTCAACGATTTGGAAAATATTCTATCAGAAAGCATGTCTGGTCATTCACTGGAGAACCGTGGGCTTTTATCTGAATCCAGCCACACCTCTGGAGAGAACATGGCCAGCAACCAGGTACAGACTGCAGCCATCGACTTTGATATTGAAGAGTTTTTGTCTGCAACTAACATCCAAACTCAGACAGAGGAGAATGAGCTTGGTGCTATGCAGGCAGTTTCTGCTCTGGAGTCCTTAGATATAGAAACTCAAACCGACTTCCTGTTTTCGGACCATCCTGGCCAAGTGGACACTGGCAGGGGGCCGAACAACTATTTAGGACTCGAAATGTTTGATACTCAAACTCAAACCGATTTAAACTTCTTACTAGACAGCAGTTCACATCTACCTCTCGGCAGTATCCTGAAACAATCTAGCTTCTCTCTAAGCACGGATTCAAACAATACAGAAACCCAGACTGATGTCCACAGCCTGGTTAGAAATAACTACAGCGCTGAAAGCCAGGTGCGGTTAAACTGTGCTGAAACACAGACAACAAGCAGTTGCTTTGAAAACCTGGGTAGTTTGTTCTGCACCAGCAATGAAACGCAGACTGTCGTTGATGACTTTCTCCTGGCAGATATGGCTTGGAATCCACTGGAGTCTCACTTCAGTTCAGTTGAGACACAAACGTGCGATGAAATCTTTTCCTTATTCCAAAATACAGACAAAAGTAGCAATTAAACTGCACAGAGTGCAGGAGGGATACCCTTGAGCTTGGTGTGGAGTGTGGCATTACCAGGACTTTCCACTATTGCTGCTCTGGAATCAACCGCTTGTCAGTATTGAATAGAAATATTTATTTCACTCCACTCTTCCCTTCCCCACCCACCAACATTGTTGGCATTCGGGTGGGCTTCCATTTGGCAGCTTTCTGTGAACACCCCCCCCCACCCCACTCAGGATTGGAAAGTATAGACAGAACATGGATCCAGAACTCATGTCTTCCCATTTCATATCACAATGTATTAGCCCATCAACCTGCTGAACCACCGTGGAAAGGCTGCCGTTCCAGTAGAATACGTCCAGTTGATTTAATGGTTGTGAATGATTCACACTTCTAGAACTGAGAAGTCCTTTTCTGCATACCTGGTCTTTAACACAGCCATCAGATCAGCCTTGGGAACTTTAAGGGTAGTAGGCTATAAAACTGAACAGATATACTTCTCACTCCTCCCTCTCAGTTCATTACTTTTCACAAGTATCTGGGACAGTAAGGGATCTGATTATGTGAGGGCAACCTTTCATGCACTGCAGTAGCTTGTTTGGTGGTGCCAGTAGGGGGAGGGGGTCACCTGAACCAGCACAAGGCTGAAGCATGAACAATAAGGCTCATCCATGGGTACCTCAAAAGATCCTTGCAAGAACAATTGAGTTTTCAGGCCCAAAGTTTATCGTTAGGATTCAAAACCCTCCAGTTTGGCATAGACATTTCACCAGCCTTGCATAAAGCTCCCTTCCATTAACTCAAGAGAGGCAAAATTCTGCTCCCCACAGCTTCAGACTTCATGGATTCAGTAGGAAGCAGATTTAAACATTCTGGAAGAAATTACATCCAGGTCAAAATTTTGGGTTGTTCCCTTTATTTGAAAGTGAATACTAACAGTTTGAGGGACAGCAGTAGAACACTAAATACTGATAGGTTTGCAGTTTTGTTTATTAGTTTCTGTATGGTTATATAAATTTTGCATTATTTATATCTGTATGTGTAAAATGTAATTGTTTGAGCAGAAAAATGAAGTTCACCTCGTATTTGTATTGCGCTATTGTTTGTGCAAATTCAAGTGGTCACTAACAGAGTTCTGTTAGCTGTCTTATTCAAAGAAAAGTTGCTACACACTACATTGATGATGGTACCTGCATACATTTCTGGTGGTCTTTTGAGCTCTCGCATTTTAATGCTTGCCCAAGATAGGTATAATGGCTACTTGGGTCGTCCTCCCAACATGAAAGGCACTATAAAATTTTATTTGTTGTTGATCCATGTTTTACACTTCAACACTGTTTAGTAGTTCCTGGTTTGTTGCAGTCACTGCTTTGTTTCCCAAGTCGACAAAGGCTCAGATGGGAACTTGACATGTTATCCCTCGACTTTATACTAGCTTTATTTTTTACAAATTTGATCATTAGCATTGCCATCTGCAGTGTTTAAAGAAGTTCCTTTTGAGGAGTGACTGCTTGGCAAGCAGGAGAGATTTGCAGAGCCCCTGCAAAAACTAAAATAATGATTTCCTTTGGAGTGACTTGTTCATCTATGACTGCTTTTGGTGATTAAATTGGAGAATGTGTCACTCGCACGCCTAACCTTGCCCTCGATGAATGTTCACACACCTGTATTATCCAGGTATCACAATGGTGATCAGAACCCAGGAACTTTGACTACCTTCTCCTGTATAGCCACTGAAGCTAATTGCAGTGCTTTGACTTTACCCTGGAGTCCAGTATTTAAACCGGTGACTTTCCGGTTTGTTACACCAGGGTGGCTTTAACCAAGGCAGCTCTTTGAATTTTATTCTGTTTAACTGATTTGGTTTTGCTAAACTTTGTATCAGTTCTTTGTATGGTGTTTCATTCATTTCACAGGTGTAGTGTTTATTTTGCATAGATCAAAAATGACTACACAGTATTTGTACAGTTTATGTTTGTGCTGTTATTGGATCATTTGCATTGCTGACTTTGAAAAATGAACCATTGTATACATAAAGCTGCTACACTCCATTACAAGTGTACCTGCATGTGTAACTTATTTGCAGATCTTTTGTTCAGAAGAACCTAAAGAACTGTGTGGTTTTGGAACTGTTTATATCACTAATGTGTTGTGTAAATGCATGCAAAATATTCAAGTGCCAAAGTGACAGTTTTTCTTTTTTTGGAAAGGGATTTGTAAGCTGATATTATCAGTGTTATTTAATGTAACCGTCAGAATGGTTTAATTGTACTCCAGTCTACTGGAAATTTGCACATTGTTTAATTTATTTTCCTTGTGTATATTGTACAAGTTCAGTTGATATTTGCATAAAGCACTTATGGATGCTGGTTAAAATTATTGGTGAGTTGCACAAAATAAAAGTTAGTTTCTCCACAAAAGATAAATGAAGTTGATTTATTTTCTGGCTGACAAAACTAACAAATCAAACTTCAATTAAGTTCTTGTCAAGCTGAAAGCAATACAATGTGATCCCAAACCTGGGCTCTATTTGATTTTATGAAGTAAAATGAAGGTACTGTATGTTAGAATTGCGATGTGGAGGCTGCAAATGCATTAAAAATATCTGCAATATTTGTAAATGTATTACAAAAAGCTACCTTATATATGATGTGTTTTCTCCAAATAAACATGGTACAAAAAATTATTATTGATCTTTATTTAAAGATTGTTAAAGGTTCAATACAGCAGTTGGAGGATTGTTCTCTGATCCGCGATGGTTCAGCTAGTCTCAATCAGCAGTATAATTGACCTATGTGATCCTGGCAGAACAGGACGTTGAATGAGGAAATAGTTAGGGTTCCTTGTCCCTAATTGCCTTCAAAAGACTCAGAATTTACAGCAATCTATGTGGCAATAAAGAGATTCCCATCCTAGTCCCAATAGGTAGGGTGGGGCTGGCAGTGGGAGCACAGGAAGGAGAGCTTCCCCTCCTGTATTCCGTTGTCTTGCTCGACCTAAATGTTTATTATTTAGGTTATTGTGACTCGAACCAGATCTGCTGAAGTCCTCTTGCTTTAGGTTTTTGGGGTTGGTCTTTGCTCCTCTTGAAGGGTACCCCCTGATGCAATGGTTATCCATTCTTTTGGAAGTCTGACCACTGGCCTTGATCAAGTTGGGTTTTCCAGACGAAAGTGAATATTGCCAGCACCAGTGTTCTTTGCTATGCAGTAAGGAAGTCCTTGAGATCTTGAAAGGAAAGGAACCAAGTGGTCTTTGAGGCCTTCTGACCAGCTCATTGTTCACATTAGAAACAAGGTGTCTCCCGTGCAGAGAATCCTCCTTGCCCTCGGTCGCTCTGTTGATAATTTGCAATTGTTGGTTGTTGCTTTGTACGCTGTTATGAGGGGCATCTCCAGGTTTGTAATCCGAGGAAGTTTCAGCAGCTGTGGCAATGACAGGTGGAAGCACAGGGAAGGTATTTAAAGGCAGTCCCTCTAGTTGACTAGGTTCATTTATCAGGATCTGCTGAGATTTGGTGCAATTTATGTCAAACTCTGTTCTACCTGCTCCGTTGACCTTGGTCTCTGTGTTGTCTCGGGCGCTGATTTCCCGAGTTATTTCATGTATTTGTTTCTCTGAATTTCTGGAGTTGTGGGTATGTATCTTGCTTCGTAAACCACGAATTAAAGTGCTCTCTATTGGCAGAGAGTTGGTATTCTTCCCTGTTAAACTACAACTCTCAGTGATTGACATGGATGAGAGCTCAGCGCATTCGGCTGGTGAATCATCTCCTTGCGCACTACTTTCTGAGACTTGTACCATATCTACACAGAGCACACAATGGCTGCCCTGAGGCTCAGTTGGTTTTGGTTTCCTTGTTTTCTTTGGAGGAAAAATACAGGAATAGGGTGGAGCCCTTCCCCAGCCTTGTGTCTACAAAAGAAAACCATATTTTTATTACATCAGCGACTTACAGGTTAGTGGCTGAAACTTACTGAGGTTACGAATGGTATAGAACGATACATTAAACCCATTTAAAGGGAGCAACATTAATTTGTTTTCATAACTTTAAGTTCAATGTATCAGACTACTCCCATTGGGAAATGCTTTACCAAGAAGGGAAAAATACTTACTGCATCTTCCCACCCCCCGTAAATAATAGATTCATCAATGTGCTTCTGGTCTTCACATGTTTCCTCAGTGATCCCATTCAGAAGATCAATGAGGTTTCTTTCAAACTCCCATGAATGTAGATAATTGGCAGCATTTGTTTCTTTATCGGTATTGTTTCCAGAAGCAATAGAAATCGCTTTATTTTCACTCTCCGACGTGTCGTCATTGTGAGACTCCATTTTCTGTCAGAAATTTTCGAGAAACTCGCTCCGTTTATTTCTTGAAAGATAGAAAGGTTGCAAGGAGTGAATGTTTTAATATTGCATTTTTCCCTCCAACCCTCTTCCCTTTGTTCCATGAAGAATTTGCTTCCTGAACATGACAGTGCTCCTTTAATTGCAAATTAACCTTTTTTTATTTGAAAGTCACTGAAATCCCAGTAGCAAATACAAATTATATTAATATACAATTATCCTCATCATTAGCAATTATTTTCAAAAGACTTAGAATTTTGCTCGCAAATACTATTATTTAAACTTAAAGAAAACACACATACCTTGAAGATCACACTGCAGAACAGACCTGCTGCTTGAGTTGGTTTAGCCTCATTTTCACTTGTAAAGAGCAAAATGAAAATTGTGAACATTTGAACTAAAAAAAATTAATATCCACTTTCCCTCGCAGGCCAACTGGATGCTATCAAATGTAGAGTCACTAATAAAGCCATCACAATGGGGCGAGTGCTTATTTTATCTTTAAAATCTCGGTGAGTTTATCCAGGCAGCAATTGTACTGGGGAGGTGCGAGATTCAAAGTGCAATCTGCACTGCATTAAGCCGATTGCTTTTCTGAGGCAACAATATGGGAGCTCTTCACAGGATATACTGTAAAGTGATTGACTGTGTATTTTGTAGGTGAAATGCAGCAGCCAATTGCACACAGCAATGTCCCACAAACAGCCATGGAATGAGTGACAACATTTTATTTGGGGGAATGTTGGCCAGTAAGAGTGAAAACTTCCTTCTCTTTTCAAAAAGTGCTGCAGGATCTTTAACATCCACCTGAACAGGCAGACAATTAAACATCATACGGACAGCATCTCTGACAATGCAACACCTTCCTAGCAGTACACTGGAATGTCAGCTCAGATGATGTGAACTCAAGTCCCGCCCTACGTGGGGCTTAAACCCACGACCGTCTGATTCAGTTACCACTGAGCCAGGCTAACACAGCAAAGGGAGAGGGCGACCTCTGGGCCCTGAATGGTAGGCAAGTGCAGCAAAGTTCCCACTGCACGCAAATAATAACGGAAGCAACTAATAATAATAATTTATAATAATTATCCTTGCATTTGATATTGTGCCTTAACACGTCTTTGAGACGTCTAAAAGCATTTCACAGGATATACTGTAAAGTGTTTTGACTGAATTAATTAACCACCAACAACTTGCACTTGTACAGCGCCCTCCAGCAGGATAGCATCTCAGGACGTTTAACAGTGGCGTAGCCTGACTCCGAGCCCGTTGAGGGGGTGGGAGGTGACCATAAGCATAATCGAAGAGGAAGGTCTTCAGGCAACTTGAAAAAGGGGAGAGAGGAGGGGGCAAGGGGTAAGGATTGGGGAGAGAGGAGGGGGCAAGGTGTAAGGATTGGGGAAGAGAGGAGGAGGGGGGGCAAGGTGTAAGGATTGGGGAAGAGAGGGGGAAAGGGGTAGGGATTGGGGAAGAGAGGGGGAAAGGGGTAGGGATTGGGGAAGAGAGGGGGAAAGGCGTAGGGATTGGGGAAGGAGGAGGGGGCAAGGTGTAGGGATTGGGGGGGAGACTAGGGGGCAGGTGTAGGGATTGGGAGAGAGAGGAGGGGGCAAGGTGTAGGGATTGGGGGGGAGGGGAAGAGGGCGGGGAAGGGAGTGGGGGCAAGGTGTAGGGATTGGGGGGGAGACTAGGGGGCAGGTGTAGGGATTGGGGGGGAGAGGAGGGGGCAAGGCGTAGGGATTGGGGGGGGAGAGGAGGGGGCAAGGTGTAGGGATTGGGGGGGGGGAGGGAGGGGGCAAGGTGTAGGGATTGGGGGGGGGGGAGAGGAGGGGGCAAGGTGTAGGGATTGGGGGGGAGTGGAGGAGGGGGCAAGGTGTAGGGATTGGGGGGGGGGGGGGAGAGGAGGGGGCAAGGTGTAGGGATTGGGGGGGAGTGGAGGAGGGGGCAAGGTGTAGGGAGTGGGGGGGAGGGGAGGAGGGGGGAGGGAGGGTGGGGGGGGGGGGGGGGGGGGGGGGGGGGGGGAGAAGGAGTGCAGGGATTCGAACAGGAGAGCGAGAGATGCTGAAACTCAACAGAAATAACTAACACGAATCATCCACACACACACACACGCACACACACACGTATATAGATAGATATAAAACATAATACCAAACGACGGGAGAGCCGCGGTGTCCGGGTGGTGGGGGGTTGGGGGGGAACTCCAAAGCAGCGACCACAGAAGAGTGGGGGAGGGGGGAGAGTGAGTGAGAGAGAGAGAGAGATAGACAGAGAGTGTGCGGTTGGGGCGGGTGAGGTGAAGTGAGACGAGCGGAGCGAGGAGGGAGAGAGGAGAGAGGGTGGGTGGTGGGGTGGGGGGGCACTGGCTGACAGGGGGTGGGGTGGGGAGGGGAGGGGAGGAGGGGGCCGTGTACCGGTTGCCACAGCAACGGGGCTGACAAAGAAGAAGAGGTGCGTCTGTTATTCTCTTCCCCACCGTCTCAACAAAAAAAAACAACCCCCACTGAACACAGCGGGGGAGGGGGCTGGGTCAGGCCCGCATCTATTAGAGAGGAGGGGGGTGGGGGAGGGGGGGGGGAAGGGAGGGGCCTTTAACCTGTTCGGTCGGGACTCGAAAATAAAATGAATTGGGAGGTGGGGGGACACACACACGAGAAGAAAATGAGGGTCGGAACCTTTTTTTTTTGCGCGCTGAGAGGGAGCGCCTGCGCGCGCACTCCCCCCCTCCCCGTGCGTGTGTGTGTACACAGAGAGTGCAACGCAAGAGGAAGTCGGGCCGGGGACGGGCGGAAGTATTTAGCGGTGGCACCGCTTTGACGGACGTTTCGAGAAGGTTCCTGTGCTGTGCGGGCGGGGCGGGGCGTCGTGGCGCGAACGAACGAACGAACGACCGACCGACCGACCGACGACGAGGAGAAGCAGTAGCAGCGAAGGTTTTTTTTTAAACCCCCACTCTCTCTCTCTCTCTCTCTCCTCGCCCTCCCCACGCGAGAGAGAGAGAAACTTATTATTATTTTCTCCGAATAATAATTATTATTATTATTCATCGTAGTAATAATAACGCCGCCGCGTTGGGCGCGGGTGCGGTTGCAACGCGGCTCAGCTCGGCTCGGGCGGGAAAGGGGGGGAAAAAGAAGCAGCAGCAGCAGCGACGTTATTGAGCGGGTTTTATACACAGCTCTCTCTCTCTCTCTCTCTCTCCATATATATATATTATATATTATTGTTATATATAAAAGTGCGGCCGATGTTCCGTCAGGGTTTTCGGGCCTCGCAGCATGGCGCAGGCAACAGGCAGGGCTTCCGCAGCCCCCCGCCCACGGCCTACCCCGGCTCGCTGAGCCCCGCCCTCACCATGCAGCCCCCCGGGGGTTTGCCTCACGCGTGGGGCTCTCCCACTCCGCCCTACGGGCCCGGTCCCCGCCACCGGGGTTCGCCTCAGCAGCAGCAGCTACAACAGCAGCAGCAGCAGCAACAAGGCCAAGGAGCGCCGCCATTTCATCACCAGCATCACCACCACCACCACCAACAACAACAACAACGCTACAACAGCCCGTGTGTCAGTCACCAACAACCGGGCTACAGCCCCCGGCACCGAGGAGGCCGCGGCTACTCCTCGCCGCCCTATCACCCGCTCTCCCCGGCCCACAGGAAGTACCAGGGCTCGCCCAGGACCTCGACGCCGTCGTTCGGTGGGGCCCAAGGCCGGGAGAACCGCTTCTCGACCAACGTGGAGCACTATTACAAGCCTTCCATGCTCGAGGACCCGTGGGCTCACCTGGAGCCGGTCTCTGTTTGTGACATTAACCAGCAGCACAGCCAACAACAGACCACCAGCTCGGGTCAAAGAGGGAGGTATTTCAGTTAAACAAAAACAGAGAGAGAGAGAGAGAGAGGAGAGAGAGAAAGTCACTCGCAATAAACAAAAAAAAATGCAATGCAGACAACACATTACTTTCCATTTGCATCTACGAGGGACAAAACTGGGTAAGCGAGAGAGAGAGAGAGAGAGAGAGAAAATAACTTGATCTATACATTGTCACAACCGATGAACGTTATCCAAGAACTATGGGTTTCCTACTGTAATTGCTTTCCAGAGACAAAGGTTTTTAATTTGACTTAAATATTTTCAGGATTGACTTTTTATGAGAACGTATTTTTTTAAAAACACCTCTGGTTTTTTTGCAACATGGGGGCTTGTTGGATGTTACCTAGGAGGGTTCTAATTACTTCAGAACTGGGAAGTGCCTGCTCAGAAGAACTGTTAAATGTTCTTTTTAAACACCAGCCAATGAACAATGACTGATAAATTTACAGGTGTCCATCTCTTCTATGCATTACAAACAGGTTAGACAGGTTGTCAACCTTTTGCTGTAAACCACCCCCTACAGTTCTTTTTTAATTTGTCAAAACTTTTTAGATCCAGGATAAAATAATAGTGCAATGTTATGACTTTGTATCTCCCATGTTTCTAGTCGTATGTGGAAAAAAAAAGAAATCTGGTTTTCTTTACTTAAAATTATGTGTTTCATGTATGATTTAGTAGTGGTGAGACGGTAACTCTTTGGCATGTGCAGTAAAGGTATAGAGGTGTGCGTACTGTTATCAGCATTTCTGTTTTTGAGAGAATAAATATTTTGCAAAGTATAGGTAAGAAAATTGAGTACATTTTAATTTACTCAGGGAATTGCATGTGAACTGGTCATAGAGGAGGAATGTCATGATTTGTCTTGTCAATAGTCTACTGGTCAAAACTTTATGTAAAACTCAAGAGCTTTTTTGTAATGGAAATATTTTTTCCCATAACTGATATTAACAGCAAGTACAGGGAAATGCCTTCCTTGAACCTGCTGCTATGGCTAAGCTGTTCTTTTCAACTCATACCCTTTTTTTGCTGGAAAGATAATTGTAGTATTATTTGCTCAAACTTCAAGAAATCTCACTTTCATTATTAGCTCTAAATTACTAACATGCTGATAACCCATTTTAAATAAAGTAAACTTTTTACATTTGCTTCCCCTGTTGTACCTTGTTTTCCTACTATTTTCTTACCCTCTATAATCTGAGTTTAGGTTTGCTTTATTCCTACACCTTCGTTTAGGATTTAAGCTTTTTGCCTCCTTCCATAAATGGAGATAAGAGTATTTTTTTTGTTATTTTAGATCATTTACCTCCCATCAGAAGATGCAAGTAATCTGATCCAGAAATTGGACATAAACTGTGGGAAGAGATGTCCATAATGCTTAAATTCTGTAGCAAACTAGTGTTTCTAAAACATTTTAAAAATTCTTATTTTTATAGTTGTACATCTAATTACATATTATTTTGGATAATAAATAACTGTTCCAGATCACAAGTTTGTGAAAACATTGCAGGTAATGTTAAATTTGTTTGTGGTTACTGACGGTATATCTGTTCTAACCCCAGATTTATTCAGTTCAGAAGTGATATACACATTTCCACCTTGCGCTACCATGGTGGTACTGCAATGGGTGCAAGTGAGTGGGAATCTTTAACTCAATTGCATTGTTTAAACAATAGGGACATTGGATTGAATGGCTGTCCCCAATGTTGTAAATTCTATGAATTGTCCCATAGCAGTTTCCTCACTGGCCTGTATGGATTCAAAGGTGTTCAGAAAAGTTTGACAAATTGCATTTGTGCAAACTGTTTGCACAATGTACAGTTTATTTCTGCTGCACAACATCGGTGGGGGAAATTCCACAACACCAGCATCCCTGAGCTATATTGCAGATCTGCATTCTCAAGTGGCTTTTTGCAACTCTTTTTTACAATGTGTGTTTTACACCAGCCGACCTACTGTTCTTCAATTCCAAACAGTAATTGGTAAAAAAAAAAGTTTTTTTAATATGAATTTGCTAAATGGAGTGAGGAAATCCTATAAAGTAGGAAGAGCTGCGGCTGGATATACAAACAAGCTTTGTTCATCTAGTTGGTGAGTAGAGTTTCTAAGTAGCAATTTTAGTTGCAAATATTTACATAAAACCTGTGAAATCTTCAATACTATTTTTAAATATCGATCTATTCTCTAGTTTCACTGTTTTTTTGTCTTTTCTTCTATGTCCTAAATTGTATTAATTCTACAGTCTAATGGAATGAAAGGAAGTGGGAGCTAGTTTTCCATGAGAATTTGATGCAAATATAGTGATAGCATTCCATAGTCACATCTCAGTCCAGCTAGCATATTGCTTGACCTTCTTATTTGTGGATATGTGTCTAATGTATTAACTTTTTACAGTATTCAGAAGCTTGTTTTGTGCCTCATCAAAACTATTCGACCTTAAGTGTGACAACATAGTTGTGGTTAATCGGTGCAATGAAAATTACAATCACATATTGGATTGTGGGAGCCTAGTGGATACCTACACAGGTGCAGAAAATATTATCGTCATACAGAGCACACTTCTTGAAAATCAATAAGCAGGTAAAAGTCTCTGGCAGGCTCGTAACTGGATGTATGTTGTAAGATGGTGCCAAAGTTGGATAGATTGTCGTCACAATATGAGTGGTAGTTTTTTACACTTTGTCTATTTTCTAATTGTTCCCATCCTTATTCAGGGAAATTGTGGAGGATAGTGCACAAAAATAGAGGACGACTTTGGCCCATCCCAATTTGTAGCTATTGGGATGTCCACCTAAGATACATACTCCACCGTATGAAGTGTACTGAGTGCTATTCTGTTTCTCTATTTGAGACCTGAACTATTGTTGATAATATAGGTAATAATAATAAATAATAAATTGGCAAGTGTGAAAGAAACCAGTTAGCTCTATCTAGTTCCTCTGAAATTGGAACAAGCTACGCTAAATCTTTGTTGAATGTAATTGAAGGTAAGTCTAAAGGATGCCCTTTAGGGTTGAGGTATCCCGTTGTCGTCTAACTGAGTTGTCCTACCATGTAGGAGAAATCTGAAGCTATTTCCAGCAACATCCATCATGAAGCTTTGGAAAATGAGAGGGAGCAGTCTTGTTGAAGTCATGGGGAAGAACAATTTGCATTGAAAAGTAAAATCAATTGCAGGTATGTTTTTTTTTCATCTTCCTACTTAAAGAAACTGTAGGTCCTTAGCTAACGCTCCCAGGGATGTCTATGTGAGAATTTAATTTTTTTTTCCTTTTTTTGAGAAAAAATTCCTCGAGCAATAAGCTCACAGATGTTTCTTAATACAAAAAATTCTTAATGCTCCGTAGATTCTCATGATCTTTCTGAGGGTATTTCCCCTTCTTCCCACCAATAATCTTTTTCAGAATTCAAGGATTATGATTGACTAGTTCATTCGAACCAGCACACTCGGTCCCATCGAGAATAGTCGAGGGGCCCATAATATATGGTTGGTATCAGCTTCTTGACAGTGTTGGAATGTCCAAATGTAGCATAAAGCATGCTTGAATGATTATCTCTTCACATGAGATGGAATATAGTTGGTGGATTTATTGTAGACTCCAAATAAGATTGATTTGCCTGTCCTAATCCTATTGTCACCCATTAATATTTAAACACGTGCAAAAGTGTATGCCGTTTCTAATTCACTTGGCGTGCAATATTTGAGCAACTTCATTCTACTGGGGAAAAAAGGCTACTTGTACGTTGCAATAGTGAAAGTTAGGTAGTTAGCCTCTGGATTAATAACTTGCTATCCACACAAGGTGTTAGTATTTACAACCTATTGAATTATCTGAGTCCAATATTAAGAGCAGTAATTTCCACTAGCAGATATTTGAATTGTGTTTGAATATATTAACCACAGGTATGTGCTGGCTATATGCTGGGGCATGATTGTGCTTGGATAGTGGAGAAATGTAAATTATATTTCCTCTTTTCTCCTTTCACAAGGTATCTGCCTTGGTTACTGTAGACAGATAACCAAGTAGAAGCCAGGCATTTCCTATGAAGAGTTGTCCACGGCCAGCCGTTGTTGCCCTTATGGTAGTTGTCCGAGTGACATTAGTGGAATCTTGGCTAGGAACATCCATCTTCCTGTTAAGGATTTAGCACTCAACAAAAACAAAGTGAAAGATAGCAGTGTGAGTTATTGGTGGCCACTAATTTGAAACCACAGTTGTAAAGTTAGAACAAAACCAACTGTTAGATAACATTTGATGTCATGTGTAATCTGGAATCTCATAGTCTAAAACACTGGCAAGGGTGGTAAGTGTGGGGGGGGACGGGGGGGACTGTTGACATCAATGATGATTAAAGGCAATGTAATACATTGAGTAGATTTTCAATGTGAAAATTCTTTTGACATTGCAAAAGTAATCTGGAACTTAGGACATAGCATTTTGTCACAAAATTGGTACACTTTGCAGATGTCTGTGCAATAATATCTTGTGAGTTGTTTAACTCCATATTGCATCCAATTTCTCCCTATGCTCCCAATTCTCTTTTCTACTCGAATTATAGAGTAAAAATTATCTCCTTTTTTTAATTTCTCATTTGATTTTTCCTTTAGTGGCATTAAAATAGGCATTTCCCCTGAATGTTGCAACTGACAGATTGGAAATGCAAATGTGTATTTCGTGTTTGGTCTTGGCTGCTGTAAAAATTGTAATTGTATACCAAAGCTGTTATTTAACATTTAAAGAACAAAGTACTCTGTATACTGACTGTTTAACGAGTATTAGTACAAGATGAGCTTTATGCTTCCATTTAAGGAGTTCTATTCAATAGTGGGGAGGTTGTTGATGCTTGGGTCTGTGACACTCAGCGGAGAAGGACTTAATAAGATGTTACCCAGAGAGAGAGAAAAACAAGGATCAGCCAATACAATAGCCACAACCGTAGCTAGCACTTGGCAACAAAGTCAGGTAATTTTGTAGCATTTTCTGCCTCGAGGTATAAACATAAGATGCTCTTTTTT